ACTCGGTGGGAAGAGGAGGAGGCATCCTGCTGCAGTGTTTGACTATTCAGAGTTTACATTGAATGTATTGGTCACCCTCCTATATAGAGCTAGTCACACACTCTTGAGATAAAAGTATTTGGCCTGGGTCTCTGTTGCCTGGAAGGTTCGTATCTCACACAGTAACACTAAGTCAATTCCTTTATCTAGTGGGGGGTTGGAGAAAGCGTAATGTATAAGTGGGGTCATCGGGGTTAACACCAGGATTTAATGGAAAATGGTCTCTGAGACACTCATTGGTGTTGTGGGGGAGTTACAGGAGAAGGGAGCTGGCTTTTCCCTTATTGCCTTTATTGTCATTACATGAAAGAACTATATACGCCTTTGTGCATTATCTGGTCCTGTGATGGAGACAAAGAAATCCAAGCTCCGGCTGCCACAACCTCCGCGTGCTGGGAGGAAGAAATATCGGGAAGGCAGTCTTCTGTCATCTTCAATCCATTACGAGATTTTTCACGCTATAGCTGATCTCGCAGTTTGGGTGACCTCTATTTATGATAATGTCGCCCGACGACTTTGAGAACATGAAGAAGTGGAGTGATCTCAGTGCATTGGAACAGTAATTATTACCAACCACGCTGGAATTTCCTTCTTTAGGAGATACAGCTATGCGGCAGTACTACAATAACCTTTTTATTAAATTTAAAGGAATAGATTTCAGATTTTGGGGAAGATGTTTATGTGTTGTTTGGCAGAAAATGCTCCACTGTTTCTTTGAGCGGGTTGGTGACTTTTGTCGGTTGTTCACTGCTAAAAAGGCCGGATATACTTGGTCTATTATGGCTCTGTGGGTTATTATTATGTGCAAGTCATGTGATCATCCAGTGGTCCATTGTTAAAAGAAACATTTTTAATAGGGCAGCATTTACATTTAGTCTTCAAAAAGCCACATGCTCTCATTTTCTTTAGCACAATGACTTTTCTGCTACAATTACTTACCGTGCTGAATGGAAGGATTAGCAGGAGCCTCCCAGAGAGATATCTCCTGCAAACACAGATGACTCTCCTCACCAAAAAAAACTCCTGTCAAAACAGAACGGTCCCCCACCGGAAACCTGAGAAGTTATAGGGCCGATAAAGAGGCTGTCACTAACTAGCGGGGGATATTCGGAGTCACGAAAGTGCCCGGAAAAAGCGAGTGGAAAGACCATCTGCATGCTAGGTCAGTGTTTTTCAATCATGTGGGTTTTCTCCTTTCAAGGTTCAGCACAACCATGGATCCACTGAGCGTGGTTCTTCCCCCCCCCCCCCCTAAATTCAAAAGCTGCTGCACACTAACGTTCACAACAACCCGACCTCTTGAGTGTGAGAGAGAGAGAGAGAGAGAGAGAGAGAGAGAGAGAGAGAGAGAGAGCAGCAGGGCGTCGGACCTTCGGCAACGTTCCACCTCCCGTTTCCTGGACGCAGCTGACAGAAGCTCCAGCATGACATGGATGTGACCTCATGGCTTGGACGCCCACTGGTTGTGACTTACGGAGCCTCGACTGCAGACCAGGCATGCGCACATTATGTCATTCACTCCGGAGACGATAGCTCGGCGACGTAATCCAGGCGGGGTTTTTCAACTGGCAGACTTATCACTAGCGTTTTTCCCCCTTAACATTGCTTAAGCAGGGTTTTCTCACAGTATCCCTCTTTACTTTCCCCATCACTACTGAGTAGAGCGAGAGAGCCCTGAATTACCTCATTTGGTTGTTTGCACCGGCATTTATTCCCTCTGCAAGAGACTCATCTATTTGATTGCTATTAATTGATGCTCAACAGGCGGTAGGATAGACGAGATCCGGCCGTCTTTTACTGCGTAAATCTAGCAGAGAACAAGAGCAGGATTTCATTAAGCCCCACAATGCACGCGGGGGCCATAAACGGCTCCAGCTTGTTGCTATGGAGCTCTGACTTGTATCGAGGAATACTTAAGCAGAAATTGGATACGTATTGTGGATACAGAGCACGACCTGGCTCATCGCAGCGAGATGGCTTGTCTTACAGGAATATTTTTCCCCCTCATATTCCAGATGGCTGGCCTGGTGGGATTTCAATGCCTCCATACACTGGTGCTCTGTAAGCCGAGCGTTTTCATCAACGTGTGTGTTTCTGCTAAGACGTCGCTGCATAATCTATATTTAAGTCTTCATTCTACACAACGAGGTTATTTGCAGGTTCCTTTGAAGTGCAAGAATAGGTGATGCTAGTTTCCTGTTTCTCACCCACCGACATATGCAGAAAAAATAATTATATATATCTACCTCAATGTAATAAAGCCGCCAAGGCCAAAGATACAAAGCAATGCTTTGTCGGTGAGGCGTCCTCTCCAAATAAAATGTTTGGGTTTAAAAATACCCAAACACTACACACAACAATTGTCTTTCAGAGAGAGACAGTCTTTGTTCTGAGCCAAGCCAACTTGTTGCTGGCTGTGGCTTCATGTTAAGTGGACCGACCTCCACATTATTCTATATTCCACAAAAACAATTCTTACCCATGAATGTGAAGGAAAAGGACAATTCTTTTTCCCTGCTATATAGGCTACATGCATGAGGATACAGATGTGGAAACACACACGTGAGGCCGTTCACATCCTGAGCCCCAGAGTCACTAATGCAGAAGAAAAGCTGTCAGTGGAACAGTTGCTGCTTCCCGCCTCGTACTGCTACACTCTTGTTAATACAATTCCCCCTCTACTCTCTTGCGCTCAGTGTAGCAGAGACACCGTCTTTCACATGCGCGCTCTGAAGCTGCTTCCCTCAGATAATTTACCAAAGTCCTTTGGGACTCCTCAGAGACTCCAGGCAGACAAGATGTGCTTGTCTGATAAAAGAAAGTGATGTGTACAAGTGTAAACATTCAATATTATTCACTCGCTGCTCTGCGCTGCCTCTTATCTGGGGGGGGGGGGGGTTCTCTACATTTCTGAAGCCGTCTGTGAAGACTAATTCAATCGTTTCATATTTCATGTGTGGCCGTGCAAAGGTGTGTCATGAATAACAGAGGAAGTCCGGCAGCTTCTTCTCCGGAGGTATTTGTATTTCGAAGATGACACGGACTCAATTATTCACGGTTGTTAAGTCTCAGTTGTCAAACACGGTTGCAGTGCCGGGCCTTTGAGTTTGTGCTCCGCATGCGGACTGGGAGACACAGGGGGTGTGCTCTCTTTGAGAAACAGGAAAAGCCTAATGAAATCGGCTTCCTGCAAACCCGTTACCCAAGAATTAGAAAAAGGAGAAGGAGGTGATGAGACAATGTGTTACGAATAAGTATCTGCGTAGAGTTGAGAGATGAGGTTCAGGGAGGGCGGTAGATGCAGTTACTAAACTAAAAGTCACGTTGTAGAAGAAATGACTCAATCAATCTAAAAACAGAACGATGTTGCCTTTGGAACGATTCCTCCTGCCGTGCTCCCGTACTATAAAAATAATAATTTAGCATTCACATTTTTTAAATCTTGCTTTAAATCAAGAGGAATCCAGTGTTTCTCAGTAGTCGTTGTTTATTTCAGAAGCTGGGCAGACACAACGCCTCACAAACCCCTCTGAATTGGCTGTTTACTGCTGTTGTTGTTGTTCCATCATCCCTGTTACATATGTTCTGATTTGTGTTATCATTATAACTACTGTATGTATATCAACTTTTAATCCCTCCAACATATTGAAAATGTACAACGAGGGTAAACAATGATGTTTGCAGTGTATAACGTCTCCAGAAAAATGCACATTCACCAGCGAGGTCACAAGGAAAAGCATTATTTTCTAACCCCCCCCTCTTTTTTATTCCATCCTGTATCAGCTACAGGAAAGTCAAGCGGCTTAAGTCACACGTACGTTGGCTAACTACCATATTTTGACACCTTTCCCTCCACTGCCTGCCACTCTTCAGAAAGAGAGCAAACCACCTCAGAAAGCCACACCTAATATATATATAATAATATTGGGCCCCCCCCCCAACCCCGTCGTCTTTGTTTCATTGGGCAGCATTCAGCGTTAACGGCTGCATCATTTCGATAAATTGTTTCTGGATGAAGCGCCATTAACATGACGAGCGAGATTTTGATTTAGGATGCAGACACGGCAGAAAACACAGTGGATGACCTTGTTTATTAGAGGGGTTGCTTATTGATTGTTTGATTCAATTTTCTCAGGTCAAGGTGCACTCGCGGCTGGGCCTGTAATTAAGCTTACAGCGAACAAAAAAACAGCTGATTATTGGCAACAACCATTGTTACCATCTCTGGATATGAGGCTCAAATTACCATAACACAACGATGAGCTGAGAGACATAATTCACCCAAACTGACACCCTAATTCCCCTGAATTTACTATGAAAGCTTAATACAAAACATTCGGAGTTTGGTCATTCTCTGGGAGCTTTATTGTTTGTCTCTTATTTATTTGGCATACAAGCAAAATATATATATCAAACTTGTGTTATTCCTGATGTGCCAGCTGATAATTAACATAACATTGCAGGACAGAAATGGCAAATATATGTAGATGAAATGACAAGTGAACAAACTAAATGTTTGTGATCATCTCCAAACAGAGAGGTGAGAGATCTAAACAACATTTCTACTGCAGTTACATCACTCTTTACTAGTCGGAGCAAATCCGATCCCTCCATCCGTCTCCGTGGTCGGATAAATCCTCTCTTTCTAATTACCCGTCATTCCACTGTTCTATTTCCACGGGAAATACACGATATCAATGAAACAAGACGCCCTCACAGGGCCCGTAAAACAGAAATGAATCCATGTTTTAGAGCCTGGGTTCTCCAGTGGGACCAGGAGGTCCTCTGCTGCCTGCCCTGATTAGACAGCCGGAGTGAAAGCTGCACCGTAGCAGGCAGAACAGCAGCACGTGAGCCCATTCTGTGGCGTTAAACATGGAAAGGAAATATAAAAAAAATTGTGCATGTTTATTGCTCGGCGAATCGCTCACAGATGAACCTTCTCCGTCTTCCCAACGCAGTTTCTGTGCCTGAAGAACATCAGGACGTTCCTGGTGGCATGCGGCGACGTATTCGGCATGAAGAAGAGCGAGCTGTTCGAGGCCTTTGACCTGTTCGACGTCAGAGACTTTGGAAAGGTAAGACGTGAGGCAGAGGCCTCGGAGTCCCTGCGACGACGGCGTGGCCCTCACTGTGTCTGCTAGCTGTCTCCAGAGACTGAATTGAATCAGCCAATGTGCCTTTAGGCCTACAGTGGATGCTGGGGAACGTGGGCAAATGTATTTATAAAAGGGTAGAGAGCTCCTTTATCTTGGACTTGGGGTTTTAAATTAGAACTCAGGTGTTGGTGCACACATCAGCCGTTCCATGTGTTTAGTCCCTTTTTGTACTTCTCACTGTAACAGCAACTTGGATGGCCTTCAGCATCATTAGCTGGCCTTCCTGACATCGCTGGGGCTAATCAACACGGTCTTCCTTTTGCAGATTGCCTTACACTCCTTAAGCGCCAAGCAAAAGCCGAAGTCAGCAACATGACCCAGCAGTTTAATCGCTTCCTCTCATTAGAGTGAATCCGCTTCAGCGCGCAGACTTTTACGAGGGGTTACAAGTCTGGCTCATTACTTTGATCGGACTCTGAAACTGTCTGCGGCTCCTTGACGGCCCTGCTGCTGCCCACTTGAAGTCAACAGGAGGTTCACTTAGAAAAGAGAGAGAGAACAAAGCTGCCGGACGCTGGTGTGCATGCTGTTTATGAGACAACAGGGTTGTAAACCTTATTTTTAGATGTGTGCACATGTGTCAGCGGGAGAAGCACAGCGCCACACTGATTGACCAGTGATCGTATTCCTACATCTAATGGCACACACCTTTATAGAACATCAAGAGACTGTCATATTCTTATCAGCTGAGATTAAAGAAATACACTACATGCGGTAAATCTGCCCCAGAATAATAACACAAAGGGATGTTATCGTCATGTTCTTCATATCAGAAGTGAAATATTGTGGTTACGATAGCAAAGATAACCAGAACCAGGTCTGAGCGAAGAAGACTGTTGCTGCAGTAAAATGAAAGGTTTTCTAATTGGACTGTTGGAAACATTGAGCAGCTAAACCGACACTTTAATGAAGCTTTAATGAAGGATTTGACTTAATGATATGTCGATACAGGACTTCAGATGGCCTCTTAACGATGAAATATGTATGACAAAAAGCCACTACCGGGACAACACACTCCACATCTTATGAAAAGTATTTCGACGAACAGATAAGGGAGATGAAAAAGGCTTTCGATATGACCAGCAGCACCTTTTTCTCCTTATTGTGCCGAGCTGATTCAAGAAGATGAGAGCATTAAGTATTCTATTTATTAAGTCTTCATGTACTTAAAATCACATTTTGGACCTTCGCAACTTCTTTCTTCCCCCTTATTGGGAAATATTTTCAGAAGAAAATTGAAGAACAAACAGTGGCTCAGTGAATTACTGCAGGATATTCCAAAAGAAATCTTCTTTCTTAAACGCCCCCAAAAATGCTTTGTGGATTTTCTGATCCTTGTGATATTAGATTCATGTGCTTTTAAAGAAACCAACCGTCATAGAACACGGGTTTAAAGGTTTAAGCTGCTTCTGGAAAAGGTCACATATAGTTATACAAAAACGAAGTCAGACTGTGTGCTAATGATGAGGCCACATCCAGCTAGCTTAGCTAAGTATAAAAAAACAGCTATTATCTGTATTGTATTGTTTAGCAAACTAATTACCGTGTGTCCATTGAACTTTTCAAGTACTGTAAGGCAGTTTTATGTCTCGGCGATGCCTGACGAGCTGTTCCCCACCATGTGCAGCATGCTAACCTAAGCTAGCTTCCCTCTGGCTGCAGCGTCCTAATAAGAAACATACAGTAGGTGACTCATGCTATGAGATGTATCATTGGGTTTATCCCCTAATTCTGATCTATTGCTTAAATATTCCAGTTGGTTAAGCACTTTGCTTTCGCTATTGTTTCCGTCTAGGGATTCTATTTTGAGAATACTCCACTACATGAAACAATTTCTCGCTTTCTTCCTGACCAGTTTCAGATGAGATGCTAAACTCTTTTTCTCTTGTGCAATATCTGCCTTATTTCCCACAGTGAATTCATTTTGCTCGAGCACAACATTAAGATGACTCTCTTGAGTGGATCCCACGTTGCCCAGAGTGAATTTAACATCTCGGGAAATTAGACAGCGAGCAGGCCCCCGAAATCCTCGCTCGGCTGGCTCTGCAGAGTCTAACGGAGCGAGGAGGAGAAGAGACGGGAGAAGCTGCCACTCACCTGTTTTTCTTTCTTTCTTGTTTTTAAAATGTAGCTGCCGGAATGCTACTGAATAAAAACACCCATGTATGGTATACTAGATAGATGGATCTCTCGCTCTCTGGGCTCCAGCTGTTGTTCTCTTAAGCTATTGTTCTGCCCGTTCTCATACCGGACATGTTTTGAACTGAACTGAAATGAGGCAACCTTTACCACGCAGCCAGAAACGGTTTGCTTGACTCCACCTTGGGAAGGAATCCAGCTCTGAAAAGGAAGAGATGTGGACTTGTAGGTATTCTCCGACCCAAACCGAGGCCGCACAACGGTGCAATGGAAGGGAAACTGACAAATACAGCACGGCTGTCTGTAGCCCTTTCCCCTCAGTGCAGGAACATCTGGTTTGCACATCTGTCTTGTAGACACATGGAGGGTTGTGAGCCCTGTAGGGGGAACAGAAACTTGGTTGCACAGGGCGTGCTCACACACTGATACGCACCTGGCAGAGAAGGAGCAAGAGTTGGCGGTATTCAGGGAAGATATTGAGAGCTACTTCTGTCGCTGCAAGTTTGTTTTTGATTGTTTATCATTTTTACACTTCAAGGAACAGTGTCTACATGCAGTAAATCAAATATGTAGCTCTTCTGACGTTCCCCCCCGAAGTCACCTGACACTCTGACTGCGTGTGACGATGTCATGGATCCTTGATTACGAAAAAATACATGGTGTGAATGACTAATAGTCTCTCTTCCGTTTTATAGCTAGTTCTCATATCAGCTCCTTCCGAAAAAAGAATCCGTGCTGACAAGAGCTTTCCAGTCCCATGACGGACAATTGCTTAGTACTTGGAAAAATGTGGTGTCACGGACTGACCTGTTAAATAATGCAGCGCACTTCCGTTTAGCAACACACTGAAACCAGCTCTTTGACTAATGTGGCCGTTAAAGTTACACAATCTGGGGCATCGAGCAGGACATTCTTCTGTTAAACAGTGGGGAACCGTACAATAACAGACAAAACACAATTTAATTAATACAATAAAGCAATCTCAGATAATTATGCAGAATGTATTTCATGCTTATATGCCAGTAAAACGGCCACAGCGGCCCCCAAATTATTACAGCATATTATTTCTTTTCCAGTCTCAAAATTGATGCATTCTCATCATCTCTTGTTCTCAACTAATATAAGAAAGCATATAAGCGTATTTCTTTCCAAAGTGTTAATTTTTAATGTTTTGTAAAAAAGCATTGGGTCATATTTCTTTTTCTTTTTTTGTCTGAATATAATATCAAAACCTGTAAAGTACATGAAAAGTATGATTAAAGACCGTACTTGAGCTTCACGTGGGCTGACTCCTACAAGGTGGAGTAACCTCAGTTCATCTGCTTTACGATTCTTGGTAGACTATGCAAATGGTTCTGCACCGCCACTTCCCTTGAATGGGTTGGAGATGCAGGACCCGCATGCGTTGAGCCAAACAATGTGTAGATAATCTGGCAATAAGGATTGATAAGGCCTGCTCTTGTTTTTGCAGCTGCTTTCTATTCGGGCCATCTGCGCGTTCGTTGTAGATACTGTGTGGCGGGTCTATTAATCAGACACAGACAAATGCTGAAATATTCCTCCCCGTCTATTCTTGTATTGAAGTAGGTTTGTTCCAGTAAAGAAGGTAAAGGGAGACTTCTGCAGGGACTGGTAACCCAATCCTGTTATTGCTAAATTCAGCACAATATTCCTATGAGCAAACATGTCTAAAAGCCTCACGAGTTACTCTCTATTGACCTTTGCATACAGCAACAGTGTCACCTCAGTCCCAATGGGCTCTTCTCTCTCACCATATACCACTGCCGTCTCTTTTAGGTGGAAGAAGACTCTGATTATTTTGGTGGGGGGGGGTTGGAAAATGGAAGCCCCGGGGGAGGGAAAGCCAAGACGGAAAGGAAGAGGTTGGCAGACAGGGAGGGTGTATTGATTAGTGTCTTCCTCCTCAGTTGACTTTGATAAATTAAACCACGGGAACCCACATAAGGCTGAGCAGTCGTCCCATCATCTCTGTCTGTCCTTTGTCCTTCAGCTGTACTCTCCCCTGCAGATCCGTGTGGTCAGATATCATGTGTCTGCTGCGAGCTAAAGGACACTTGGGGTGTGTCTACTGCAGGTTAAAGCTGCAGTACCACTCGTCTGCAATCGCTTTAGAGGCAGCAGTGCGATAGCTTCCTCCAGGAAAAAACAGTGTAGTGGATGGTCAGTTATTAGGATGAGGTTGTTCTTTTATTAGAAACATCACATATTGGCCTTTTGCATTTCCTCCCTGACCAGTCCCCTCAGAGGTTTTTCTGCTGTGGTGTAAGAGGTTTAAAGATATAGCCTCATAGGTGTCAGTAGGTCAAACCCGCAATTACAGTTTCAAAAGAGCTGTGAGGCCACTTAGTGTAGATCTATTATTCTGGCATGCAGTGCGGAGCCTTACTTTCCAATTAAATGTCTAAATGCTGTTTCAATTGCCTTTCTATTGTATCACAAAAGAAAATACAATTACACGGGCCTCATTGAATTCATGTAGGTTTATAGGCACAGCAATGTGGACCTCATACTGGTAGAAACTGTGTCAAAAATCTATTTGATGTTATTTCTGCACAACAGACCTTTCTCTGACGGACTTTTGATCAAATGCAGGCGTAAGCGGTAACATTAATAACGGCTGCAGTCCATTTGTATTGGGAATGCTGGCTCACTGGCACACCAGTATCAGTTACGCCTTGTCTGCCATGGCAAAGTTGGCAGCGCGGATCATTTCTGGGAGGTGAAGTAATTGTTCGTGATCAATAACACAGCGGTATCGA